CTCCATCAGAGGGAACAAGGAGGTGAATTGCCCTCGAACAGTTTAACCTCTCATTTTAAGCACGTAGTGACCCAAATGAGACCAGGTTAGGTTCCCACAACTGGGGCAGGACGAACTAAATAGAAGGGCAAAACCTGAAGGTGTGGTTTTTGCTTGCGACATGCTTGATGCTCGAATCGTTGCAGGCGAAAAGCCATGCTTTTGACAGCATGAAGCCGTTCTGGCACATGAAATGCCACTTTAAGTAAACAAGAAAGACCTGACAAGAGTGGATGACATAGCATGACATAGTTTCTCGCATCCGTATCCCCAGCCCTGGGCCAAGAAAACATGTTATTTTTTGGCCCCCGCCCGAGGCTCGTCGGACGCTTCGGTCTCGGCTCGCACTTTGGCAGCGGCTTGGCTGCAACACTCGACCTTCCGGGTCTTGGAGGATTTGTGGGGATGATACATGTTCAAGGATCAAACCGTGCGATGCAAAGGATATTGTCTACTGTGTCACCCATGACATGACAAAATGCTTAGCATGTGTGCGGCGGCAGGGGGGGGGGGGCTTGAGGAGCGACATCCTTGTTCCGGCATTTGACGGCTCTAGATGAAGTGTAGCTTGTATGTAGCACATGATTTTGCACCAAGAGCAAGTTGGTTGAATCAGAAGTTTGTTCGAAAATGTGGTTGCATCTAATTGAACACTGTGCTGCACCTTGTCCGTCATACCCAGCAGAACTCGCACGGTAGAGGCAGAATGTTGCAAGCCCCCGAGAATTCAAACAGACCATCGCCGGAGCGATACCCGGAGCGATACGTTTCAGATGATGGGCGACACCCATGATTTCCATCCATTTCCTGAAGTAGGCAGTTACCCATGAAAGCGAAAGGCCTTTCTTTGCCTGGTGCTGGAAACTTTCGATCTGTGGCTGCTGCACAATGCCTGTACTGAGAAGGTCTGACCCTTCGGGAGGGGGCTGCAAAGGCACTTACAAGTTACAAGCGAGTCTTGCGCTTGAGAAGGCATAACTTTAGAGGACCCCCGCACCAATGGTTTGGTTATGGGCCTTGTTAAGGGATTTAGACTATTGTCCGACCCAGTGGCTCACTTTTTCCCGTTTTCCCTTGTGGGGTCCTCACCAGAACGGCCATTTCCCAGGTTGCTGGGATTGATGGCCCAAGCGCTTTTGAAGGACCAAAGGACGCCAAACTCAATTGCACCCTTCCCAACATGGTCTTGCGATGATTTAGTGAGCCTGGTAAAGGGCACTTGACCTCAGCTTGTTGCCAAAACCTGAAAGCCAGGCCATTCGCGATCCCCCGTATTTTGTTACATACGGGACACCAATAAATTGTTGTGATCTTTTTTGGCTTCCCTTCAAAACCACTCCAAAAAGGGGGGTGCCCTCCAAAAATTGAGACACTCACAGAAACAGGAAAATGCCAACCGAGGACCTGGTCGGCTCTGGGTGATGCCGCAAGCCGCGGCCATCAGCTGCTGCAGCAAGGGCAGGCCTTTGGAACGTTGGCTCAAACCGGAAACCTCAGGGGTCCCAAGCTATTTCCCTTCTTGGTGGTTATCAACATCGCCTTTTTGGCCCAAAGGATTTTTTATCCCTTGGTGGGGCTGATGCTTGAAGGGGAAGTATAGGGAGCCCTGAACCTCGCGGTGATATTTTGTTAGTTCTCGAGGCTGGTTCCCTGTTCTGGGCTGGTTTAAAGGCATCTCTCGGTCTTCAGGGGGTGTGTGTTTCTTGGCCTGGACTGGCAACCCATCAGGTGATTTTGGTTTGCTTGTTCTCGAGGCTGTGGTTCCCTTTTGTGGACTGATTTAAAGGGAACCAAAAGGAAACCACCCATCTCTCGGTCTCCAGAACGGCCGGATATTTTGGGGTGGACTGAAGATGGAACAGATTCAGAACATGTTTGTTTTTTGTTTTTTCTTCGGTGTACCCCGGATGTGGGCCAAGTAGACATGTTTCTGCCAATTTTAAGTAGAACGAGCGAAAGCCACAATCATAATGGAGGTCCTGTACTTGCAGATTCCCTGTTTCAGGAGTTGAATGAGTGAGAAGAAAAGCAACACATGCGCAAGCCAAATCAAACCAATACAGTTCAAGAACCTCTTGTTGGGTTCCCTACCGGTGTACCACCAAGAAGTATATTCTATATGTCTGGAAATATATACAATTTCATGTATGAAAGTGGCCCAATAAAAGTGTACCACCAACATTCCCTATACTTTGTTGCATTTTGCCAAGGGATGTTAGGACTTTAACTTTTTGCCGACTAATGGGTTCTCCGTATTAAACCACTGAAAGTTAGTGACTTTTCGCAGAGCAGAAAGCCACCGAAAAACCCCACCCCACCAAGAGGGAAGCAAGGGAACCAAGCTCCCATGGGTCCGCACCCATAGAGAGCCAGTGCCCATAGAGAGCTTTCCCATAGGCCATTTTAAAATTTCATATACCAAGTGTCATTCGAGCTCAGAGCACCGCAGGAGTTGGGAAGCCGCCCTTCAGCTGATGTCTTTGACGCGCCCAAGCAGCGTCAGCCTGGCCGCGGCGATGGAAGCCTGCTCGCTTGGAAGTGCCTGGCAGGACGGGTTGAACCGGGAGGCTGCCAGACCTTTAAAGGATACCCCTGGCTTGACTGCTATTGGGCAACGGATCTTTAGACTTTCACTCTTTCACTGTTTGGTTGAAATCGTTGGGTTTTCCACTAAACCCACAAAAAGTTAAACCTTTTGCAGAGGGGTCAACAGCAACCAAGCTGGTGTGTGGTGTTAAAGGGAAATCAACAAGGAAAACCACAATTTTATAGCCCACCATGTTCATTGTCCAATAGGAAAATCCAACAGTGATGAGTGGGTCTTTGTTTTAAGACTGCCTCATTGGATTCTTGTTGTATGGGTTTCCTCCTGAACGGGCTGCCAAAGCGCAACCCAAGGGAATTGTTGACGGCATTGTTTCTCAGCTTCCTGTTGGGGTTTCCTCCTGAACTGAGCCCGAAAAAGCCCAAAAAATATAGGGTTGATTCCTTGTCCATTCTTTTCAGCCATCGTCCTTTTCAAAGCCCAGCGATTTCCAACCTGGGTGTTTGGTGGTTTTCTAGAAAGAAGGATCCCTGGTTCAGAATGGACATGGAAGTTACCCCTAGAAAAATATGGCCTTTCTTTGGCGCCCTCTGGGGGCTGGTCTGGTGCCCTGACAGGCTGCCGAAGAGCTGCTTCTCCAGAGAAAGCGGGCGACGCGTCAGGCATGGGGAACTCCGTCAAAAAACATATATGATTGTTAGGGTCGACGAGATATTCTAGGTCCCCCAGTAATTTCTGACCCCTGGTTTTGGTTGGGAGGGTTCCCCTACTAAAATAGACTACAGAAAAGTTGGTACCCTTACTCTAACCTCTCTACTGGAGAATCTAGTGTTGAAACAGAATCAGGGATCACTTCATGTCCTTTTTTTGGACCTTCAAAAGTGGCGGTCTCAGTGGAATCCACCAGTCAATTGTTGCTCAAGGGAAAATCTAGCGACCCCTGTTTTTTTTTTCCTGTGCACCCCAGATCTGGGGCAAAGCAAAAGTTGCGGTTCTTGGTTGCTGATTTCTGGTGGCAAGGGCATGCCCTTTGAAGCAACAAAGCAGTCATTCTGGGATGGGGTCTCAAAGAAGTTCCCCATGTTTTGCAACCATGCAGGAGGCGGGTTGGGTTGGGTTGGACGCCTTGTTCTTGGCACTGGAGCAGTGTGGGCAAAGTGCGAGGAGCACACTGCTGAGGCGACAATTCGGGAATCTCAGTCCAATGCCGACCTAAAGCTTTTGGTTGTCCGTATGCTGAAGTGTCTTCCCATGATGGCATTTTTGTTCAAGTCCCAAACAGTGAAGCTTTCACTCCCAGGTTCAATGAGAGTGTCAAGTCAGGAATTCAGCTTCCACCGAGACTCTGGCTGCTTTGGCACCCGCAGCTCTCGATTGGCATCCGCCACCGCCGGAGACGCTCGAACACGCTCGGCGCCTTCCTCGCAAGCTGCCGGCCTTCGCAGTTGCTCTGGTGCATGCCCGGCACTTCCTTGTTGCATGTGGGTGCGTCTCACACTCCTGTGTCCATTAAAGTTGTTAAAACTTTCAGGGTTCTCAGTTTCAGAGAATGTGTCCCATTGTAGCACATTTTAGGGGTAGTCTGAAGAATGGTACTTTAATGGACCCAATCTGAAATATATGGGAGCCCGTTGCAAGGATCACGAGACACCCATGTGACCAGAAACACCTGCTTGGTGTGTGGACCGGGGGCTCTCGGAAATGGACAAAAAGGCGCTGCTGACTCTTCACCAAGAGCAGAGATTCCTGTGCAGATGCTCATTTTAAGGCGATCTCACTGGTTCGAGGTGTAAACGAGCTCACCATGATGCCAGGTCCGCTACTTCACTTGGGGGATCCGTATATTCAGGTATGACAATTCTTATATACGCAGATATTATGTGTGCCACGTGCATCCGCTTATTAGTGAGAGTGTTACTGAGCTCACGCATTGCAAAGGACATGTTTTCAGAGTAGGGATCTTTCAGCGTGCTTGATGAATCTTGGCTTCACCTAGAACAGGGGGGGGGTCCGGAATTGTCGAGTGAACCCACCCAGTTTGACTTTCATTGAGCGGGCACAATAATTCTAAACCCGTGGATGCTCAGTGGTGTAAAGTAGGTCATAATCGTGACAATAAGTCAGCCAATCCCTACTATGTCTCCCAGTACAGAAAAAGTTGGTACCCTGATTCTAACCTCTCTGCTGGAGGACCTAGTCCCTATTGTTCCACTTGTAACCTCAAAGTTATGGTCTACCTGCGTCGTAGGCTGATCCGAGCAGACAAGTTGAGGGGCTTGCCCCAGTTCCAGTTTCCCACCGACCCTTTTGAGAAGCAGGGGAACACTTTTGGGGTTTGAAACCACACTCTTACTGGGGTTTCTTCCACGTTTGGGGCCTTCACAACGCGTTTCTTCGACGTTTGTGCAGCGGCAAGGCTTCAATGTTGCCATCGGCCGACCTGTGGCGGATGAGCACTACAAGCTATGCTTAGAGGCGGATTGAAGCAACTGACTGCCTAGGTTGGACGACCCCCAACCTGCTCTTTCGGTTGGTTTCCTCTTCTGGGCCCCCAGTAGTGCCCTTTTGCTCTTGGGGGCGGGTTCCCCTAGTAAAATAGACGACACAAAAAAGAAACGGTACCAACTTATTCTAAGCTCTCAAATCTGGAGGACCTAGTCTTTTGCGGCCAGTTTGTGTCAAGGTCCCGAAGGGTCAGCACATCCAGCCCTGCGGGGAAACTTGACCGCGTTGCGTAAGCCTTTGCAACCCAAAGGCTCACCTTGGACTCTGGATTATCGTTCCCAAACTGGAAGGGAAGTATAGGATGTGAAGGTCCTGTACTGACTCCCAAGCTGGAAATAAGGGGAAGCCAGCAGTAAAGGACAGGTGAGCTCGTTTTGACCCGGATCTTGCCCAGGCTCTTTCGCCACCTGCAGCTACCTCGTGAAGTTTGCATTGATCCACGACGTCTTCTCCAAACCTTTTTCACATTTTGGGCTAGACTAGATCCAACACAGAGCAAGCACATGTTATGCTCACCCCAGAGTCTAGCTCAGACGAGGGCTGTGGACCTGTCCTTCCACTTGCTGAAGGGGAGTTCCTTGAAGCCTTCAGAAACCCAAGCCATGGCCTGGCAGGCTGGCGTGAAGATCGCTGGCATCAATGCAGAGGCGCCTGCCAAAATTCGTGCCAAATGTCCCATTTGTGATTTTGTCTAAAGGACGCTTTGGGGATGGATATGTGTTTGAGATTTTTCCAGAACCCCTATTTCAGATCTGCCTTGAGTCATCGAAATCAGTGCGAGTCGGGTGGCTCTCGGGTTCAGAGTGTGTGTGGCAAAGATTTGGCGCCTTGGACCCTCTGGTTTACCACCCCTCCCGGATGGGCAATGCGCTGCGCCAAAATATATGTCGAAGAACGTGGTGTCAGAGGTTACCCCTCTGCCCGTCTTATTGGCGAAGCTCACCCGAGGACCTGGAGGGAAAATACGAGCTCGCCAATTTGTAGGGCCTTTGCCTGGGGCTCCGTTATCTCAAGTTTTGGACTTGCTTGCAGAGACCCGGTTGCGTTGTAAGCAAGGCATCATGCGTGCGGTCAATGGAGCATCCTGGATTGGGCTTAAACAGCATAAGGATTCAGGAAAAAGCAAAAAAAGAAGAAGAAAGAATCATGACAATGTGGCCCCCCACTTCCCCGAGTCTTGACCGATCTACCTGTCAAGGCCCAAAGTTGTATCCACTGACCTTAGCTATTCAAATCTCCTTTGAACCAGAGGGTAAGTCAAAGAGTTGCGGGTCTGTTCAGATCTCATTTTACACTCCACAGTTGGAGACGTGATTGTCCCATCATCTCCTGAATCTTGTCTAAGTCACATCCTTAGCAAATTGGTTCTGGTGATGTTTGTAAGATGATGCCACTACCCGCAAGGCACTACCCCCAGGGGGAAAATGGGGTATATACCCTTTACATAGTGGCTATGGCTGCATATCCCACAGCCCTGGAGGTAGGGATTCGGGGATGGTGGAAGCCATTCCAACATAAAGAATGGAGAGTGGCTCTCACGCAGGGGACTCGCGACCCGTTCGCAGGTCATGCCTGGCCAGTGGGAGTTTCAGGTTGGCCCGTGCAGGGGCGTCGAGATGGGCGACCATCTCACCATTGCCCGCACTTTGGCTCATGATCCGCCACCAGCGGTTTTCGTGGACATCAGGTCCGGATGCCAGTTATATCTGTGAAATGCAGCTTGAAAAGAAAGCCGAAGCTGGGGTGTTCAAGTCGCGGTTTAGACATGCTTGAAGAGGGCCCCCTCCTACAAACAAGGTGTTGTCCAGGGGCCGATGTTCTAGGAGGAATTGAGGTATATGACCTCATACAAATGTGAACTAATACATATACACTATATATATGTATATATATTGTGTATTTGTATTGTTTAATAGATCTACCGATACTCCCACAGGATCTGCACCCACATTCCCTTAGCAACAGTGGCTAAAGTGCAGACGATGTGAAGACCCGGTCCCCAGAACCGCAATGTCCCCATGTCCATCCAGGGAGCCGCACATGTGCTTGGTTGCTTTAGGATGTGCCCCGGGGTCCAAATCGCGCTTGCGCCAAAATCCAGTTGGGTGCAAAGAGTTTGTGAAGTCGGGCTAGAGGACCGGTCGCGGATGAAGCAGGGGCTTGTTTGCTTTTGTGTACCTGGGATTCTGCTGGGCCTGGCTCATGTCCTCCCTCCGAGCCGAGGTTACATTATGCTTCGTGTCACCGAGAGTCACAACTGTATTTGCTCTTTCTCGCCAAAGCCGATGGACGGGGAGACTCCGCTGCAAGGCGCAGGTTGCACGCGCGCAGGACATAGTAGAGGCTTTGGACTCGCTGGCCGGTGCTTCCTTTTTAATTGCTTTGGCATGTGATAGTTTTCAGGATGTTGATTGAAACCGCGGCAGGGTTGGTTGTATGAATTGCTCGCACAAACCATTGCAAAAAGCCAAGAGGAGGTTGTTCAACAAGTCGGACTGGTAGATTGGTAGATTGATAGATGAAACAAGGGATTGAACGGCCCGCCCCTGAAAACCATGGTCAGGGCCGGTCTTTCTCAAAAAAATGCCACGAGCCGCGCCGAGGATTGGAACGGCGCTGGATGCCACACCAACTTCTCCGTGACGCCCATGCGCGAGGAGCGAAGCAAAGACCTCACTTGTTACTAAGCCCCCCCTGGCCCCATGAAAAGACCTGCGACTTTGGGAGTGCCTAAAGCCAAATTAGAAGGGAGGTAAAATAAAAAAGAACGAGAACAACAACAACAACAACAACAACAACAACAACAACAACAACAACAACAACAACAACAACAACAACAACAACAACAACAACAACAACAACAACAACAACAACAACAACAGCACAGCAGCAGCAGCAGCAGCAGCAGCAGCAGCAGCACAGCAACAGCAACAGCAACAGCAACAGCAACAGCAACAGCAACAGCAACAGCAACAGCAACAGCAACAGCAACAGCAACAGCAACAGCAACAGCAACAGCAACAGCAACAAACAACAACAACAACAACAACAACCAACCAACCGCAACCGCAACCGCAAACCGCAACAAACCACCACCACCACCACCACCACCACGACCACCACGACCACCGACCACGACCACGACCACGACCACGACCACCACGACCACGACGACCACGACCACGACGACACGACGACGACGACGACGACGACGACGACGACGACGACGACGACAACAACAACAACAACAACAACAACAACAACAACAACAACAACAACAACAACAACAACAACAACAACAACAACAACAACAACAAAAACAAAACAAAAAACGATGTCCAGGCGGGGTGGGTGAGTTGGCACGCCTGGGTCATGTACTCACAGGACTGGGACTGGAGTGAACTCATGAGGTCAGCCATGCGTAAAACGGCCGAAATTTCGGTGTCTCACGCAGGGCCAAAGGAAACGCAGGGCGTTTTCGTAGGTCTGCTCGCGGAAAAGCAGCGATTCGACCGCTTGGAAGCGTCGAGGGAAACGGGGACAGAACTTGTGGCGAGCCGGTCCGGATGTTCAGTGAGGAAGGCGGCTATGACGTGATCATCAAGGTTTGTGAGGCGGGACCCGTTGCTTCGGGCGCTTGGCGCCTTCCGGTTTTTTGTGCCCGCAGCCCCACCTCCAGCTGCGTACCAACGCCTGAAAGCCTCACAAAAGACACTCATATTCCCTCCAAAGGGGTGGTTTCACCCATCACCTTGTTGCCAAATTCCAAATGCGCTTCCTTAGATGTGATGGTGGCTGGCAATGTAGGGGAGACCGGTAGTGCTTCTCCTGAGGTTCGTCCACGAAGCAATCCTTCAGGTACCCCCTAGTTGGTGGCTTGGATGGTTGGGAAATCACCAAACCAAAAATCCAGTCAGAGGGAAGCCGAAAATCTGGTTTTTGACAAGCAGGGCCCGCTTCTCTTGCGCTCGTCCGAAGCTGGCGGAAAACAGGGTGGGCGCCTTGTAATTTCGTTCAAGCTTCGGAAAGTTGTTATTCCCCCAGCCTGACAGCGGCTCCCCGAAGCACCGCTAATGCAGCGGTTGGGTGTCAACCGGAGGCCTTTGGCAAGGTCGCGGCCGAGCACATTGCTGAGTATGGAGAGGGTGCCTTGGCAGTCGACACGTCAAACGTCTCAGCTAAAACGCCAGGCGAAGATAAAATCCCTGTGGCTTCCGCGTCTTGCAACCCCTTTGGTGGCAGCACACGGCGGCAGGGGCCCAAAAGGGAGGCCATAGTGTTGACAACCGCCTGTATGATGTATGATGTCAACCCCTGACGAAAACAGGTGGATTATATACATACATATATATATATGTATATATTATGTATAGTTATGTATGCATATATACGAGGCGAAATGGTGCTTCCTTGGGGACCTTTTGGGGTTCCATGCTTGGGGTGGGACCCTCATTCCAACAATCACGGAAGTGGGCAGGGGTGTTTGGGTACAGTTCAAATACGCCCAGGGGCTGACTTGGAACCAAAGAAAAAGAAGCTTACTGCAGTTCCAAGATTGTGGTCAAGAGAGAATATTTGGGAGCCCCCACATTTTCCCGCCATGACCTTCTGAGGAAATGAGAAGCGCCTGACAGGCGGGACTGATGCAGTCACTCACCTGGGCGAGTGCCAAATTGTTGTTGATATTCCTCAAAAGGAAGCCAAACGTAGATGGGTTATGTTTTTTTTATGTTTTGGTTAATTTTTGTTGTTGGAGACCCGGCCTTCTTTGGATGGCACTATCTATTTGAACCAGATGGCCACTTGAGGGGAAATCAGGTGGCCCAAGGAAAACTGTTAGCCGAGAGGTCTGATCTTTGCACCAGCTTCGGTGCTTGGTCTTCGGATGAGTCAAGCCGTTGAACAAAACCTGTACCCTCTTTTGGTAGGTTTCAGGAAACTGGGAACTCCCATGCCATGGAGGTAAAGAATTACCGGTTTTGACACACACACACACACAGATCTATGGGGCTGATTCCCCGTTCTTTTCAACCATCGTTCTTTTCAACAACCAGCCGTTTTCGCTGGGTTTCCAGAGGTTTTCTTGAAAGAAGGATCCCTGGAAAAATGGGGAAAGGTAGCCTTAGAACAGACTCTCTTTGGTTCAAAGAGAAGCCAACAGGACCGTGGACACCCCAAGTCGGCCAGGCAAGCACGAGACTTGCGCCATCTCGGACTTCAAGTACGGGGTGGCCAACCGCGGGGCTTCCATCCGCATCCCCCGGGAGACGGAGCGGAGCGGCAAAGGCGGAGCCCGGGGAAGTTTCGATCGACGTGGGAACCGGCCGAAGGTAATACGTACCACTTGCTCCTTAAGTTCTGGCGACTGAATGTAAAACAAACAATGGAGTACACTGAGTATGTGTATGGCATGTAGATACATATTATATATATATGGTAGATGTATCGATGTATCCATCTTGTGTGTTATGTTATATACAGCATATATATATATAGATATGTATGTTCATACTGTGATAGTCATACTGTGTAAAATGATATCTATGCATAGTAGCAGGGCCTGATAAGATCATCTGACAAGTTTTGTGGCTTTGTGTGGACTTTGGTCATAGTACCTGGCTGCTTCTGAAGGATGGGCATTTCTCGACGACGCATGTGAAACTCGCATGTTTCTTCAACCAGCTGTGGAAAAGCTGCTGACAAAAACTCACGTGGACCAGTTGTTTTTCGGTATTCAGATGTATTCAGGTATAATGCTGTCCGCCCCATGCCGACCATGCGCAGAACATGCGCATCCCTTTTGCATTGCGCCGCGCCTGCTACTGGTCCCATCTCCCCGCCGAGTCAAAAAAAGAGCGCTTTTTGGGGGTGCCCAAAGTGGACAACATCCCCAGCATTGAGAAGAGGGATGGACAATTGATGAACAGTGGATGCAATGCATGGAAATTGATGTGGGATGGAATGGCTGGAAAACGGATGGAAGATGGATGGAACATGGATGGAAAATGGATGGAAAATGGATGGAGCATGGATGCAACGTGCATGGAAAATGGATAGAACCTGGCTGGGTGGGGTGCACAGCGTGTAAAGCAGCCGTGATGCTCCCTATGAGTCTGGGAAAGCGAGCGATTTACCCCTTGAAGAAGCAAGCCTTGGGGGCTCCTTTCTTCTTCCAGCTAAACACAGTAGCTAAAATGGACTACGGAAAAAAGGGTACCCTTATTCTAACATCTCTGCTGGAGGACCTAGCAAGTTCAACTCAAAAGCAGGGCCTTTGCTACCAGGGTCACAGGAACAGCCGGGGTCCTTCCCAACCCAAAGGACATGGCTAAGTCAATTGTGTTTGAAAATGGTGCTTCTGAAAGGGTAGGCCTCCAAGCACCCGAAGGGCTCAATCAATTTGGGCGACACCATTGGCCTTTCTTTTTTTTGGAGAGCGCTTTTTGTGTGGCTTAAAACGGAAACCAACAGGAAAACCAGCATGGGGTCCAACCTTTAAAGGGACACACCCCAATTTTCAAAGGCCCGGAATCCCAGCGAGTCGAGCCCAGTTGTTGCAGGCTACATGGAAGACCGCCGCCCAGCGGCGAACTGCGACCCTTACAAGGCGGAAGAACCGAACGAGCTCGTTTCGCAGCTGGTTTCGGCGGATGTTGTTGTGTTCCTGAGTTCGGTTTCTTGCCCAAGCCCATCCAACATGATGAACATGGATCCTATACAAGGCTTTGAAGCTGTGCTAGAAAGCAACTTCCGGGGGGAAAAATAGCCTGATGAACGCCGTCAAAAGCCCTTACGCAATGGCCTTTGAAGCACTGTCGCATTTACAGTCACCACCCCAAGGTGCCCCTTGTCATCCCGCCAACAAGAAATGCAGCCCAACAAGTGAAGGTTTTAAGCCACCAACAGGGAGGAAATATGGGGAATTGCTATTGGGGATGGCCCCCAACCCCTCCTTTATGCATGTTTGGTGATGTTTTGCCATCCCTCATTTTTGGTGCAGTGTTCTTAGTAGGCTGTATTGATCTTAAAAAGGGGCACATATTTTCGCTGGACATGTTCTGGCGATTCGCTTCCATGGCTGATTGTAAGAATAGTGAAAGCCTGCCACAAACCATGATAGATTCTAGGATCCTCCTTGTTTGCTACTTACCACAGCAGGGATTTACTGTCACTACAGTCACTACAAAATACTGGGGTTTTGGGGCCACCTAGACTCTCCATGACCCTTTTAAAAAAAAATGGGTCTATGACCCCATTGTTTTGGGTACTGACCCCATTTTTTAAGGATCACGGAGACTCCAGGCACTTCTGAAACGAATCTCCTTTCAAGTAACAGAGGTGGGAGTGCCAGTTTGATCTCGCAGCTCTCGAGTTTCCCACGTCCGCTGCCCGTGGGGAGCGGGGTGAAAAAAAGCCGCGCGGAGAGGTCACCACGCGGATGATGAAGACGACCGGCGAATGCGACCCGGCGATGCGTGTCTTATTGGCGGGTTGGACAAGAGCATCTCCCCCAGTGCCCTGTTGCCCTTTTTTGGGGGAGGGTTCCCCAACTAAAATAGACTACAGAAAGAAGGGTACCCTTATTCTAACATCTCTGCTGGAGGACCTAGCAGCAAGTAGCTTACCCTTTTGACTTTGTGGGATATTCCCCACTAACTTGCAAAAAACCAGAGTTTTTGGGCAGGGGGTGATAGGCATCAAGGTAGGTAAGAGGGAAACCTGGAGAATAGCCATGCCTGGGGGTTCAGAAGGAAATTTAGGACTGACAAACGAAAAAGAGAATCAGGGCATCACAGTTTTTGTGTGCGAGCTTGGCCATTCGCTTGCTGTCGCAATGTTGAAATCAAGCACGTACCGTAAACGGCCTTTGTTGGATGTCTGGAACTTGAAAAGGCAAGCACAGTGAAAAGGGCCCCTCGTTGACGGCGTACGCCAAACCTTGAAGTCACCGAACCCGCTTCGTTGATCGAGTTGGGCTCACCGAAAAGAAATCCTGGAAAGCCCGCGGGTGAACAGATACTGCCATCCATCCAGGGACCCTAACCCTATGTTTCTGCGCGGTACCACCCTCTCCCTCCAGCCCCCAATGAGGGGCGAATAAAAGTTGGCGACCTTGTTTGTCCAACCCCAAAATCCGCTGTGGCCCAGTGGTGCCCTTTTTTCCTTATTTTGGGTAAGGCTTCCCCTTAAAACTCAACCAACACAAAAAGGGTGCCCTTTTTTCCCCATGGTCACTGGCATCTGAGAACCTCCATTCGCCGGGTTCGTTTGCCCCAAATTCTCGGGGGAAGTGCTAACCAGGGCCTCCGAACCTCCCGGAAATCCAAGGTCTCGACAAGGAGTGAGCAATGCGTCGGGCACAGCCCAAGCGAACGAGGCCCGAGTAGAAATCCTCGATGACAAACGGGGCGCGCCTACGCCTCGGACAAAGTACTATAAATGGTTAGCAATTTGCACCCCACAGCTCCTTTTGCATGATTCAGACCCTTTTATTGTCCTATATTGTGCACAAAACCCCATTCAAACAAGTTCTCAAAAGTGGGCTCTGATCGCTTGCACAAAAGGACAAACATGTGATCTGAAAGGAGCCCAGTAGTCAGACCGCATTTAGTGTCGGCGTGTGGTTTGTGAGCACCTTCCTGGCGGCGAAAGCGCATGCGGAGGCGCCTCAAGGTTTGCTCAAATGGACGACCCTTTTTGATGGCGGCCTTGCCATGGTTCCCCTCTAGCAAGGAATTGTTTTGTTGGGAAACTCCCATGTGCTGTTGCTTCAGGTGCTGCTTGAGCTTGCCTTGAGGAGAGAGCAAATGTAAATATATGGCTTCCAAATGGTTAACATATTATATGTATTACCCAGGTTCCTGATGGTTCCTGCCCGGCGAAGCTTTGAATCCCATCGCACGGCCAAAAAAGCGGCGAGACCAAGGTAGCTTTGGTTGGTCCATGCTGATCGGACACTGCACTAGAAGTTCCAAGTGGCAAATCTGAAACGGCAAGACCCTACGGGGGACTGGACATCAACCTCTCAGAGACTTTCGTCTTAGGGATTCGATTCAGGCAATATCCTTCAGCAGTACCACACTCATAAACCCTGGTCCTTAACAAACACTGTCTGGTTTAAACTGCAACCTGGTCTTAACCTCGCTATGGGTTGGGTGGCTGCCCAAAAAGAATTCGGCATTGATCCGGGCTCAATGTGATGCAATTATGTCCCCCATCCTGGCGGTGCAGATGCCGAGAGGGTACTAGGAAAATGGTATTCTCACTCCCTAAGTTCCTGGGCTTTGTGCACCTTTTGGGAACACCATTGCAAGCATAGGAGTCTTTTTTAGGTTAGTTTGATTGAACATAGATGGCACTGGTTTAGGTGGGGTTTCTTCCATTTACCATGGCCATCTATTTTCCCAAAAGGCCACCTATTGCAAGGGTAAGCAAGTTTGCACCTGGTTTGGCCAATACAATCGGAAAGCGTGTGTTGTTTCGTTTGGCTTTGGCTTTACCAGGGAACAATTGTCTACCCTCCCCAGTCTGGCCTCATGATCCCGTCTCGCCAATGTGGGCGGGCGTGTTTTTGTAAGGTGGTGCTCTTGAGGTTGCACAGGGAAACCAAAAGCAAAGCCACCATTTGGGGGTGTCTTTATTGACAATGGGTTGAGCGGTTTGGAGGTGGAGTGGTTTGTGAGGTTGGTGGGCCCAGGATTCTATTTCTTAGTGACCAAGGCACACTTGAACCCAGGGTTTCCGCGTTTTTGAGGAATCCACCCCTGAGACCCCGGAAATTTAAGTATAGGGGAGATCCCTGTTGTGTTTAAAGGGAAACTAAAGGGAAGCTGGCGAATCGTTCGGATTTGGTTTCCGGGAGAAAAGCCCGCGGCATGAGCCGAGCCAGTTTGGCTTGTTTCCATGAGGGGTATCAAATGCCTTGTTCGAACATGTGCCAAACCCTGGTTTGTTGGGTTCAAGGGCAAAGCACAAGGACAAGACTCATCTGGGGTTGCAACTAAACTTGGCCCAAGTTTAGTTGGTACACTGAAAAAGAGGTTGTCAGATTCCTGTTTGCGTTTCGTCAACCCTAAAACCAAAAGTCATTCTGGCGCAGACCCCAGATTTCTTTTCAACAACCAGGCCATCGGGAGGTTGCTCAAACAGCCGATGTTTCAGGTGGCCTCAACCAACACTCCCCCCCCTTTGGTGCAAAAAGTGGAACAAATGTGAACCCAACAGGGAACCAATCAACCCTCTGGTTCAACTCCAACCCCAAAACAGCTTCCGGGCTTTTCGGGGCAGATGACGCTGCTCTTCATGGTGATGGGGAACTTCGGCATTGCCTTCAGCGACGTGGTGGTGGATGGGCCCGGCGCCCGGGATCCTTAAGCGTCAGAGTCCCCAATGGACTGTGGGCTGTACGGAGTACGGATTGTGGGTATGAGTTCTAAAAGCCTCAGCATAAGGCTTCAAATCACACTTTGATGCGCCGATTTCCAAAGAGAAGATTGCCAACCAGAACAAGGACTGAGCGGATCTCGCATTGCGACTAGGCCCCAATGGATGTCGAACAGGCTTTTTTGGGGATCCATCAGTAAACACACAAGGATCCCCAAAAGGATTCGTTTCGCCCACAACGGATCCCGAGTCTTACTCCCTGGGTTCCTGGACACACTTTCGGGGCTTGCATTTGAGGACTGGGTTTGGCCCGTCCACTCAATCGGAAGCAAGCCAAAGGATTCACTGAATTCGGTTACAACCAAATCCACCACGGGCGTTGGAACATGACCAAGTAGGCTGAACATCCAAATATGGATCCCTCGAGAAGGTGGCACGCCCTCCCAGCAATCATAGATTTGCAGCGGAGAGGTTCTGTTCACTTCCAGTTGGAGGTTTTAATTGGCAGCCAGTGTTACATAGCTGGAAGGCCATGTTACTCTCGGACCTCACTGCATCTGCACTCAACCCGGGCGACTTGGATCCCAGACGCCCTTGGGGTTTGAGGTGCAACCCTGTTTAGGTTGGTGAAAACTAATAGGATTTGAATTGTCACAGTCGAGTTGGCCCCGAAAAAGGTGGCCAAGAACACAGGCGGTAGAGGGATCTCCGAAACAGATCTAAGCAAAGCCTCCAAAACCAATTGAATATAGGGTAGTTGGGAATGGAACCTCAGATACCATCGGGTGGATGTTGTCGATCAACATCTTTCAACCAGGGGGTGGCTGCACTTCTCACGCCATGTTACTTGCTTTTTGGTGATTGATTCCCATCTTTCGGACACCGCACGGTTTTGAGGTCATGTACTCAGAAATCCCGTATGTGGCAAGAAATCAGCGTTTTTTTGCGGCGTTTCCGCGCTTTGAGCCCAGGCTGGTGGTCGAGAAGGCCAGAGACAATCCCAGCTTGATGGGCGGACTGCAATCCTTCAGCCCGCAGCCTCAGAGATTTTCGCAAGCGCTCGGAGTGAGCCTCGGACGGGGGAAGCTCGGACCAGTCCCAGCCATGGGGTGGGGATTGTTTGCCATGCGTTTTGGGTCGAAGTCAATGGTGTTTCATTGTGACTTGATGAAACCTGAGAGCAGTGGAGTTGCTTCCTTTGGCTTCTTTCATATCAACGAGGTAGCGAGCCGATGTGTCGAAGTGTGGTAAAGCGAGTTCATGTGTCCTTTACCTGGGTTGTTTTGAGGTTTTGAAACGAACTTCGGGGGAAGCCGCGATGCCTCAAGAAAGTGCAGTTTCATTAGACCTTTGCGTCAGAATGTGCTTCTAAATGTCGTCCCCGGACGTAGGTCGAAAGTCACACTGCTGTGCATGGTTTTGGAGTGGTTCAATGCATGTTTTCGAAAATGATATGCGTCTATGTTCTTACTTACTGACGACATGTTGCTGGGATGGTTGGATTGGATTCCTGAGTTCGACATCCTAGTTGTTGCGAACTGTTGTGGTTTTGTTTGAATTCATGGTTTCCGCTGGCAAGAAGATTGCGCCTAAGAGGATGGGCATGATTGGTTGGGGACTGGCCTTTGCTCACAGCTTTGAACACTTCCTTCGGATCATTGTGTATTTTTGTTGTTCCAAATGCTTCATGCTGTGAGCGTCGTTTGGCTGGCGCGATCAGTTTGTTTGGTTGTTTGGTCGGTCAGGTTGGTTACGGCAGGTTGTGTGGATAGCCTGGAGGGCTGATACGGATTGAATTTCAGGACCTCAGTCGGTTTCAACCACTCGTGATGGACTCCAAGGGGCTATGGGAGGGAAGCCCAGAAGACAAGCCCTGAATACGGGTTGCTAAAGGGCTAGCCCCTCCGCGGGGCCATGACTTTTCTGAAAAACCGCAAAGAGTAAGACTGTACGACTAGAGAAGCATGAAAAAAAATAGGCTCGAACATCTGCCAAGAGATGGTTTGCAAGAGTTTGTTTGAGCTCCTGCCGTAAAAAATCAGATCTTGTCACAGAGCTTCCAGCTTGGAGAAAGTCGCGGGGTCATTGGATGGAAAAAGGTCTGATCTTTGATGACCTACAAGCTGATGCTTCAGCTATACTGTGGATGGACGAAATCCATTTCGCACCACTTTGAAACCATCGTTGAAACCATAACGTTTGTTGGTATTTACGTTGGGGAATCAAATCACAAGCCAGGGGTTCTGAATGGTGGTGCCGAAATGAGGATTTCGCATTTCCATCCACAGTATGCCCCATGTGGCTGTGGTTGTCAAAACCAATGGGATCCCATTTTGAGGTAATTAGGTGAATTCATTTCCCATATTAGAACCTATTTTAGTGGTTGGATTGGGTCCCGTTCACTGGCTTACGGGCTTTTGGTTTTGACCCATGGCCCATGTTTCTTCCAATTGACTTCCTTGGATGGCTTTGGGGCAAGGCCCACTCCGTTTCAGGCTCACACCGCCTCGCAAGGTTGGGCTTGCAGAGGCTTTGGCGCCATCCTCTCTGCGTGACCTGGGGCGATTATGATTATTATTATTATTATTATTATTATTATTATTATTATTATTATTATTATTATTATTATTATTATTATTATTATTATTATTAGTAGTAGTAGTATTAGTATTATTACTATCATGATTTTTAGTGTTAAAAAAAATAAAAATAAAAAATGTGACGCCTCCATGGGGGTTTCGACGAGGTACTTCAGTGGAGCGTTGCTCGAGATGATCGGCGCCTGAGCCTCAGCGCGACGACGTGACACGGGGTCCTTCAAGTGATGGCACCCCTTTGGCCGTTGTACCTTTGGAACTAACATGGCTGTTACTCCTGAACCAGGACAAAATGTCAACTTGTTTTTGTTTGTTACTCCTGAACCAGGAAAACATATCAACTTGTTTTTTGTTGCAGGTTAGTTCAGAGCAACCTGGGTGTTGCACGACTGCAGGGAGCATAGTTGGCTATACTCGTGGACTCAAGCAGTGGGCAAGCCTGGTGTGTCGAATAGGATGATTGCACAGATCGGCCGGCAGAAGCTTAAGTTGCCAGACACTTGACTGGTCTAGACCCCTCCGAATGGTGTCCCGTCAAATGCCAACCAAAAGGGGTTCCACCATTTTGAGAAACTCCCAATTCAAAATGGAGGCACCCCCTCAAATAAAAATTTCTTTGTTTTTGACTGAGGGCATTCTGGGGTACGCAGGATTCGCACAGAGGTGCTCACATGAATGCGGACATTGTTTGATGCTGTTTGTAAACATGAATATTTGAGCATCCCAATTCAACCAGCGAATGCCAACAGTTGGCAAACCCGAACATCAATCAGGTACATTTGGGTGAAAGTACATGGCAGATGTGAATACGTAAAGCGGATGGCTAATGGAATCGGGGAAATATGTCATCAACGTTCACCCCCTCATTGACTACCCTCATTGACTACCCTCATTTTTTCTTGTGTGCCTATTATGCACCCCTTATACCCCTCTTGCTCTCCTGTGATATCAAGGTCAAACGGTATGCGTTGGGTTCTGTGGTGAAGCCTCTGGGTTTGGGTCAAAATTGGAGGACCCTCAAAGTGGTGGTGCTCCTTTTGTCTTTCCTCTGAACCAACCTCAAACAGGGTACCCTCCGAAAGTCCCCACCTCCCAAACAATGAAATTCGGGGAGGGAAATTCATGCACAATTCTATTGTTGCTTCTTTTGGTTGACTGGTGAACCCCCCCTTCCCCTTTTTTTACAAGGCGCCCATAGCGTATGGCTCTTGGTTCCTTCGGCTAGGTGCAGCAAGTCTTCGCCATCACCGCGTGTTTGCCGCTGCTGGTGGTGATGGCGGCGGTGCCTTGGGCCCTTTGTAGTTTGTTTCTCAAAACAAACTCTATGAGCAGCATACTTGTCCCTGAGGTCCGAACTCATAGGCTGATTATGTTTATTGGGCATGGTAGTGGCAAATCCAAACAAGAAGAAAGTACTGGAACCCCACAAAGGATGGTTTCCCTTTGTTTCCGTTTGAAGCAACCGCAAGGGGCACCCTAAGCCCCATAATCCCAGATGGAGTTATCTCATGTTATCTCGATATCAGTGGACACCCAGATTCCGTTGGTTTCTGTTTCGTTTGCCTTTACACCCGACCAAAAGGGAGTTCTGCAAGAAAGTCCGGAGTGAGGAAAGCAATGGAAACCCCGATTGTTTTCTTCAAAGCAAAATGGCGATTCTGTCGATGTATTGTTCGTGTTTTGTTCAAGGAAACTAAAGGAAAGCCACCCATTTCTTGAACAGCAAAGTTTGCTGTGGCCCTATTCTAGGCCTCTTGTTTGTACTAGGCCTCTTGTTTAGTACTAGTAGTATTGTTATTATTGTTAGTATTATTATGACCACTTGGGGCTTGGATAGAATCAGGCAAAGACACCAGGTGGTCATTTGTCAAATCCAATCATACACGCCACAAACATGGGAATTCCAGGTCGACCACCTTAGGCATGTCTCAGGTGCTCATTCAGGAGTCGGAAGCGCCGGAGGCTACAAACTACTCCTGGGAAGAGGTGGAGTGAGTTTTGTCGGCTTGCACGACCTCAATCCAGATTTGTTGGTGTTTGGTGACGAAAGGGAGCCCTGGATTCAACACCCCCCCCCCCTCCCGGCTTTTGATTGGGGTCTTTCAGCTCGGTCAAGCGTCAACACCTCAAGTCATATCAAGTCCAGGGTCGATTGATGCGGACTGAAAACGGGTCATGCCCCCACTGGCATTTTTGTGGCAATGCTGGTAATGCTGGAGATGCTGGCTGGTGATGGCAGGGATGCTGGCTGGCGTGATCGTTCTGGTATTTCTTATTTTCTGAAAGCTGGGGACGGTGGGTGAACTGTTCGCTATAGTTTGATCTGATTCTGCACACAAGTCTGTATCTGTTGTTTGCACTTGCGTTGCTTATGTCGACCTCTTTTTGACTAAGTTGCGTGTAACTGCCAACTGATGTGTAAAGACAAATCTATTGGCCAGGACATCCTGCACAATGTTTAATTTAAAAGAGAGCAATTATTACAAATGTGAGTTTTAGAAAATGTGTTTAGGTGAGAAAAGAGTTCAAAGGTCCAACAATCGTGTAATCTTAACCTAGCCCCAAACACTGCCATGGTCAGAAGACACCGCAAAACACAGCGGATTGCAGCGGTGTTCGTACTAAATTCACATCTTCGCCAATGGGCGATCTAGAACATGCAATTGGAATTCTGTTGGAGTTTAACAGGGCTCCTTTAAAAGATACATTTTGCCGATTTTACACATGGTTTTTTCCACCAAAATAAAGGGAAACCACCATTTACAAGGCAATGTTCAGGTGTATAGTGTAAGGATCCCTGTTTAAACAGGAACTACTTGTTCCGAATCCGGTTCGAATCCAATTGGACATTACATTTTGATGTGGAATGTAATGTCAATAGAATTTGGTAGGGAAATATTCCAATCATAATTGATACTTGAAACTAGAATTTAAATACGAATTGGGCTACTCCAAATTAGACATTACACAGGATTTCCTTTCCAATATAATGGCCTTCATACATCAGTTCCGACTTAAGCACAATTTACTCACAAAGAGTTCAACTCGAATTTCCGTTTGAAACTGGAGTTTTTATTAAGTAGGAATTCCGTGTAATAAGTACAGCTAATCGACTCGAGAGTTTCTCGCAGAACTCTTGGCACAGTGAGCGGCTACTTGAACAAGTATTTGAGGAATGGCTTCACGTTTATGTCCTCAATGTGTGGGCTTAGGGCTGATCCAGTAGGAGTGTCTGCCTGAGGATGTGTGTGTGTGTGTGTTTTCAAGTTCATATGACTTGAGGTTTGTTTGCTTCTTTAAAAACCCGGAAATAATGCATTAGAGCAGCAGAACACTTGCACATGTCCCAAACAAAAAATAGAAAAGACTGCAATTTTAGACAAATCCAAAAACACGGAGAAATGTCCACCCTCCCCCCTCCCAGCATGCACTTTTAAAAGCCAGCCACATGCTTTCCGTCTTTCCCAGATGGTTTGCAGAATCAATCGTTTGAGAAACCAGATGGATGCAAGGCGTTGCCTCAATCAAAGGACGTGATGGCATCAGGTGGTTCAGGGTTTGCCTTGAGAAGTCAACGGATCTCTTGGAACCTCGCGGGGAACTTCCTCGAAGGTCAAAAGATGGATTGACTTGCAGGGGGTTTCATCCACTCCAAAAGCTAAACCTGCCGGAACTCCGCCTTTAAGATCTCATCTCGCGTTTTGGGTCCGTTTTTTGGCCCTTTTGGGAGAGTTCAAGGGAAAGCCTCCTGAAAAGCATCCCTCTAGGAGTACCTTCCCCATTCTTTCCAGGGATCCTTCTTTCTAGACAACCTCCAGAAACCGAAAACGGATCCGGTTTTCGAAAAGAACGATGGTTGAAAAGAATGGACAAGGAAACCACCCCTACAATCCCATGTTGTTTTTGTGTTTTCCCCCCTTTTTTTTCCGGGCGCCAAGCCCTGTAGTCGCGAAACCTGCCTTGGCCAGGCGAAGCAGTCCATGGAAAAGGTCTGGCAGGCGATCGCGCGGACCCGCGGGAGTTCCGGAAGGAAGCCCACAAGAGGTGGTCAAGACGATCCTTGTTTAGAAGAACTCCAAAGACAGAAACCACCGTGTTTTTTTTTTTAAGAAAGTCCTTTTGGTAAATGGTTCAGCCCCTTCTCAGGTTCCTTTCTTTGGTCTGCAAGAAACGAAGAAAGAAGCCTGCGAAAAAATGGCTGTCGAAGTTGTCGATGGCCAGACTTGGGGTCTTGCAACATTCATAGGACAGTGTCTCGAAATTGTGGGCGTCCTTTTGGTCGGTGTTTATAGGGATGCCAAACGGAAACCAATCATTTTAGGGGGACCGAGTCCTATCTTGAGATCCGTGGCATGTGCTCCATTTGTGCATTTGTGCGATTACGTCCTCGGACAAGCCTGTGACCAACCAAGGCCATATATATATAATATATTCCCAACTTGTCTTAGAGAGGAAGAACAGAATTGCCATAGGTGTCCGTTTAGCTTAGTTTGGATAGACATACATGGAACCATGGCCCCGGTGGTATGCCCCATTTACCAGGGCCATCTATTTGTTCAAAGGTCGCCTATGATCAGGACCCGTTTTGGTTCTTAAGGAGTTCTTTGGGGCCGAGATTTGGGGAGCTTCGATTCGCATGTATCGACGGCGACCCGGATGCTGAGCACCTGGTTTGGGCCACAGGTATGGAGTGCCCAGTGGTGCCCTTTTTCCTTTTTTTGGGCAAGGGTTCCCCTTTAACAGGGCTCCTTAAAAGATACATTTTGCAACCATTTGAAACATGGCTTTTTCAACACCAAAATCAAGGGAAACCACCATTTACAAGGCAATGTGCAGGTGTATATTGTAAGGATCCCTGTTTAACCTCGACCAACAAAAAAAGAAGCTGCCCTTTTTTTTTCCCATGGCCACTGGGCATCTGAGGAGTGATTTATGAATCCCCTTTCATCTGAGGAGTGATTTATGAATCCCCCTCTGAATTGTCACCCGCTGATCTACACAAAGCACTTCTCGAACTGCGAAGGTCTCGCTTAGCAACACCCGATGCAAATGTGAGTGGAGTTGAGCCCAAATCCGTGAATTGGTCGTTCTTCTGCGCTGTGCCACCCGCTATTCCCTGGATTGTCGGACGTTTCATGAAAAGAGTTCCCCGTTGGGGGAGTGGATGATATTGAACTCCTAAAGGAGAATGGGCAATTCAGCACTGGGGCGTCCCGCTTCTCCCGGGAGGTCGTGAGCTCACCAGCCGTGTTCCCCTCAGTGTGTTTCATCCTTGCGTGGCAGGCGAGGGTCGGGGAGTCGGGGGCGAGTTGGGGCGCGTTGCCTTTACGCAGTAGCCCAGACCTCCAATAGCCTTTCTATTTTTCGTTGAAACACTTGTAGCCCAGCTACCAAAATGGTGCCCCCTGCTGTCCATGACTACTGGGAATCTGTCAGCTCGCCTCATGGCGGTTTACTTCAGGAATTCGAACTGGGCCCCTTGACGTTGTTGCATCTGACGGGTTGTCAAAATTGCTTTGGGGTGGTTGCTTTCGAAAACCGCCATTTAGAGGACAACAGGTTGGAGGCTGTCACTTTAGTGAACCCAGGCAAGTGAAGCCCATAGAGGAGCATGAGCATTCTGAGCGGTTTGCAACAGTGATTTGTGGAAGCCTCATCCAACCACGATTTAGAGTCCCTAGTTTCGAGGATGCCATTTGCATGGACCCATCAAAGCGTTCGCATTCTCAGGGTTCACCAGTTTTCGTTTTTGGACCCCGGGCCTTCCGCGGGCACTCGAGAATGCCACTTCCATGGACTCATGAACATCGTCTCCTCAACTAGGTCCCCCAGGATCGTGCCCTGAAAACCATCTTTTTGTTGGGGAGGGGTTCCCTACTAAAGACTAAAGAAAAAGGGGTACCCTTGTTCTAACCTCTCTACTGGAGGACCTAGTCAAAGCCCCGGAATGCCCTTGAAACCGCCACTTGGAGAGCTGATGCCACTTAGTGGACCCAGGCAAACGAAGCCCCTCGAAGCCGCGGAAAACCCTTCGCATCCAGTTGGAGAGAGCTTTCGCGGAAGACTCCAATGGGCCCAAGAACAGGAAGCCATCAGCACGAAAAACACCGCGCTCAAGGTAGCTTTGTGCATGCCAATTCATGGACCTAGGAAAGCGGCGCACAACGAAGAAATTGGAGGGCTGTTCAAAACGACGCCTGGGAAACCCTGCGTATTATTCGCTGGACACGGGTGCCTGGCATTGCACAACACGTGGGAAGTGCCCTGCGAAACACGTTTTTCGGCGGATGCCCTTGATTTGCATGCCTAGTATGGAAGGTTGCTGGTCCGCAATCTCATTTTGGATGTGGCCATGGGTCAAAATCCCATACCCCCAGTGAACATCCCAATCCCCACTAGAATAGACTAAAATGGGTGGTGCACCTACCCCAAAATGGTACCATTGGTTTTGACCCACAGCCATGTGTGTGTGTGTGTGTGGGTGGGTGGGTGCGTGCGTGCGTGCGTGCGTGCGTGCGTGCGTGCGTGCGCGCGCGCGTGCGTGCGCGCGTGCGTGCGTGCGCGCGCGCGTGTGTGTGTGTGTGTGTGTGCGTGTGTGTGTGTGTGTGTGTGTGTGTGTGTGTGTGTGTGTGTGTGTGTGTGTGTGTGTGTGTGTGTGTGTGTGTGTGTGTGTGTGTGTGTGTGTGTGTGTGTGTGTGTGTGTGTGTGTGTGTGTGTGTGTGTGTGTGTGTGTGTGTGTGTGTGTGTGTGTGTGTGTGTGTGTGTGTGTGTGTGTGTGTGTGTGTGTGTGTGTGTGTGTGTGTGTGTGTGTGTGTGTGTGTGTGTGTGTGTGTGTGTGTGTGTGTGTGTGTGTGTGTGTGTGTGTGTGTGTGTGTGTGTGTGTGTGTGTGTGTGTGTGTGTGTGTGTGTGTGTGTGTGTGTGTGTGTGTGTGTGTGTGTGTGTGTGTGTGTGTGTGTGTGTGTGTGTGTGTGTGTGTGTGTGTGTGTGTGTGTGTGTGTGTGTGTGTGTGTGTGTGTGTGTGTGTGTGTGTGTGTGTGTGTGTGTGTGTGTGCGCGCGTCTGGTTTTTGAGGCTCGGTACCCTGTTCAGCTTGGCTCAAAAGGAAACCAGTAGGCAGTAGTCCAAGTCCCTGTTGTTCTAGGGGTAGCTTCCCCATTCTGAACCCAGGGATCCTTCTTTCTAGAAAACCACCAAGAACCCTGCAAAAATGGCGGTTTTTGAAAAGAACGAGGGCTGACAAAAATTGGTTGGAATCAACCCCTAGAGTTGTGACACATGCGCACATGCTGCAACCATTTTGCCGTCTGCATGGATGCCGGTTTCATCTGATCAGGCCACCCCCACTGCTGGATCTGCGCAGCTCGGAAGCGACATGGGTGTGTCCCAAACACTCAATGGGCCCCTTGTGTGTTTTTTTTTCTTTTGAAGGGGATTCCCTTTGACAAAAACGACTCTGAGAAAAGGCATCGTTTTTGAAATGGGCTCCCTTTAATCAGAATCGACTATCGAACAATGTTCTCTTCTTGGGAGGTTTCTTGATAAACTGTCAAACATGCATCTTTGTTTGCACGGTCCTTTTCAAACAAGCTGTCACTACTGTAAAAAGGCGAAGGGTTCCGTTGAAAGTCAACTATCAACAAGCTGTGGAGGGATCCTCAAGTCATCTATCAAGAATGCTAGGTTTTTGTTGGGGGGTTCCCTTTCAACTCAACTGTAAAGGCGTCTTGTTTTAGATGGGGGGAGTCCTTTTTGACACTACGTATCAACGAAGTATCTTGTTTTGTGGTGCCCTTTGACGTTAGAAAGTGCATTTGTTGGAAGGGGGTTCTACCAACTCAGCTGGCCTGTTTTGCCCAAGAGCACGCAGCGGGATCTGCTAGCGCACCGGTACTGTTGGCACTGGTTCTGTCTCGCGTTCAGGACAGGCTCCGAAAACTACATTAAGTCACGGATGTTGACCGGCTTCAAAAGTTTTCCGAGCAACTCCAGGAAGAACATCCCACGCAATTCAGGGCACGAACCATCATTTCTTGTTCGTATCGCTCAGTAAGTCTAGGATGATACTTTTGAATCCTTTTAGCTATCAAAGGCCTGAAGTTGGGTAAGCCAGATTTGGGCTTTGGGGAGTCTGGGCTCTAGGACTCTAGGATGGCTAGTTGAGCAATTCCATTCCTTCAAGCTCCGTGTTCGACTCAGACATCTGAGCTGTTTGTGTGCAGGGACATGTCTAAATGTCCGTTGCATCCATTCGCTTACTGCTCATCGCAAGATGGCCTTGATGTCAACTGGTTAGCCCGGAAGAGCGGATGGTTCAACGAGCGCCTGGACCAGAATTTGTTCATAGGCTGGCAAAGTGAAATTGAGATTGCTCCAGTTGCACACTTTTTCGGAAGTCGGGTTCTGAGAAGAGGGCAGCACCCAAGACAACGTCGGCCAACTTGTGATAGTTCAAGCTATGGCATTGGAAGCACGTCTGGCATAGTGGGGCATGCAGATAGCTTGCGGGTTCACCCATAGTAACCCATTGGTGTGATCGGCGCGTTTGCCGGAAAGCTAGCCATTTGCGTCCTTGGTCTCAGCTGAAATGCCGTGTGAGCCACAAAATAAAACCTGGTAAGTGGCGGCTAGTACAGGACAGGCCCAGCAACATATTGGCAGCCCATTCAATGCCTTGCATGGTCTTGGGTGGACTCCGTTGGTAGCATTGTTGGTTGTGACTCGGTCGGGATGCTTCAACTGGTTGCACCAAGTTCCCTGATTGGATCATACATACACATGAGCAAGGATACAAACCCACTTTCATCACACCAGCTTGACAAATTTTGACAAGCTCATGTGGGGTGGGGGCGTAATCCCGTGAAGGTGTCCGGGTTTCAGGCTTGTGAGATTTCATGATTTGCCAAGACCCCTGCCATGGTGTGTCACTTCTCTCAACAGGAAGCCAAAGATTGACCAGAATGTTTGCTCGTCAAAGGAAACCAAACGCGGATCAAAGGAAACCAAACGCGGATGGGTATTTGGACCCAAACTCCAACACCCAGATCTCAGGATGTTCTTAAGAGCAGCTGGGACCTGCGGGAATCTACACATTGACAGACAGGACCCAAAGTCTTTACCCAGATGGTGGTTTCTGCATGTTTTCAAAACCCTGTTTGTCGTGTACTAGGAATTTCTTTATCGGGCTTGTGAGTTTTGGAAATTTGCTCAGGTCTCCAGATGCTAACATGGTTTTGATTGATTTCCCGAGACAAGAAAAGTAATGGGTGATCGTTCAACTTGTTGCAATTCTCCTAGGATGTCCTTAAGAACCATGTAGGACCCAAATAATTTGCACCAGGAAGGGAGAAATAAGAGCTCCTGACTCCTTAAGGCGAACCTTTCAAAGCTTTCCGGTGGGTTTCCTCATTTTTGTCGCCCCGTGGGGTCTCAGGCTGTTCTACTTCTACACCAATGAGCTCCACTTCAACCCCGAGTTCCTGGGCCGCTCACAGCTGGCGGGCTCTCTCGCCAGCAGGGGACCCGAAGAACGGTGGTTGGTGTGGGGCAGGTGTTCCAAAAAGTGGTTGTTGTTGGGGAATCATGTTTTTGTTTTTACATTTTTGTTTATTGTGGTTTAGCGGGAAATCCCCACTTATCTGCTAAAATTTAAAGGTGGCCTTTTTCCTTTTTCTGGGCAAGGGTTCCCCTTTAACAGGGCTCCTTAAAAGAATTTCATGTTGAACTATTTGACACATGTGGCTTTTTCAACACCAAAATAAAGAACTGGAAACCACCATTTACAAGTTGCAATGTTCAGGTGTATAATGCATCCGGATCCCTGGTTGAGCAGGTGTTCCAAAAAGTGTTTCAGTTTGCCCCTCTCAAGTGGTCACCGGACTACTAGTCACCGAGACGTTGACATTGCGCGTCAGCAGCCTATGCCTTTGGGGGGGTGTTCCAAACAAGAAGAAAATAATGGACGCATGAGGTCCTGTAGAAAACAGTCCCCTTACCGTATTGCCGCCTTTGGATTATTGTCCATGGGATTAGGGCAGACCCCATCAATACCAGCTGTTGAGTATGTCTCCAATGGATGCGTCCTTAAAGAGGAGGAAAGATGGCCTTGTCTAAAAGGTGCTCTTCATAAAAGGTCTTTCGACCTTTTTGGGCCCAGAAACCAGAAGATAACGTGAAGAAATGCTGGGTTCAACAGCAGATGTCCAGCAAGGTGTTCCCCGCCTTTTGTGGCCTCCCATGGCTGTCCTGCCTGGGACCTAGCGGGTTCTAGCAAGCGGGTTCCTCCAAAGGGCAATCATGTGCTTTTTTAATCCGAAGGGAAGCTGTTTTGTTGGAACCCATTCAACAGGTCACCCAGATTGCGCGAAAAACCGCGGATGCTCATTTGATGGTTGTCTGAAACTCCTTGCTCCCGGAAATGCCACCTTCACCAGGAAAAAAGTGCATGCAACATCCATCGCGGAGCTTTCGCCGGGCTACTTTCGCAACATTCAATACAGAAGTAGTACGTCGCAACTGTGCGGTACCACGTAGTACCCACGAAGTACACCTCCGCCCCAGCTCAAAAGCCGTGCAGCGCAGCTCACCACTGGCGGCGAGGTCTGTCGACTTTCGATCGAATGTGGCTGGGAAGTTGTGCTCAACTGGACCCGAAAACCCTTCAAAACATGGTGCAAACTCCAGCAAGCGGCAATCCTCAGACCGTGCTGTCCTCCGCCCAACTTTAGCATGTGTGCGTTCTGCTCGCACAGCCCGACACACATGCTTTATCAGTGCATACTTCCTGTTAGCAAGCCACATCAAACCACCCTTGCACACAGCTTCCGCGCAGCAAACCTAAGTTTCGCATCATCGCCAAGCTTTCGCGGAGGGCAACACTAAGACTAAGAGGCCTCCGTCATGTATCTCAACACAAAGATCTTTCGGAAGACTCCCTTTGGTTAAACCAAGTTGTGGTTGTTGTTCGCATCTGGTGGTTTGACTTGGTTGTCCTTGCACCCAAAGCCACCCAACGGTCACAAGTGCGGGTCTTGGTCTTACCGCTGAAAAGATGGTTCGTCTCAGGCTTCGCCGGCATCGTGCTCTACAACCGCGGGAGCCTCATGCCGCCATTTTGCCCCGCGCCAAAAGCAGCAGCATCGCGCCGAAAACCGGCTGCTGCTTTTGAGTTCCCTCCAGGGTTTTGGGAAGGGGCTGAGTAAGTTCGTGGGTTGCACCCTCCAAAACCCAACTTTAGTCATGGTTATCGAAAATGGGAACTACCAGTTAGTTCCCATTTTCGATAACCATGACTACAGTTGGGTTTTGGAGGGTGCAACCCTTTGGAACCAACCGCCAACTGGAGGCGTGGGTGTTCAGTCAAAAGCTTCGGACCAATGAAGAAGTACTAAGACTTTGCGCCGCTACGCGAGACTAAATTTAACTTTTTAGGTTTCCCAAAGCCCGTTCTACTTGCCTAATACCATAGGAAATCCTCGGGTTAACAAAAGGAAAGACGAAAGGAGGTTGTTTGAGCAATGCGAGTTGCAAGTTTCAACTCGAGTGTTCTTCCTCGTGGCATCCTCTCTTGAGTCAAGTCCTCCTGCGGAAAGGCTGCTATCTTCAAGGGAAACCAAGAGTTTGATGGTGGTCAAGAACGACCAGTAAGGGTTTTGGGAATGAACCCAGGGTCCAGGGATTCCCTTTGGAAAATCGCAAGTTGGATGGATCGATTGGGGGTGATTCCCTCATTTCCTACTGCGAACCAGCAAGCTGTGCAAGGTGTCACACGGTGTTTGCAAGAAAATCAAAGGGAAGGCGAGGCTTCAGCAGCGGAATCCCGGAAAGGTGTGCTTTTCTGACCCGTCCATTGGTGGCATTCCTTGTTCAAGTATGACAATAAGCAATTCACTGGGGTATTTTTCACAACTACTTTTCCAGTTTAGGGCAGACTCCCAAAATATGGCAACGGGTTCCTTTGAATTTGCCTTTAGACACATCAAAGAGTTCCCTTTTTCCAAAAGCGACCCCGCCCAGGCGTGTTCTCTACGGTGCCATTGAGGGATTACCTCTTTCGCAGCCCGGCAGCACGCAATGCACGGTTGTGTTGCAACGCGCATTTGCACGTGAGCATGCCTCAGAATAAAAAATCGGCCCCTACTTGAATGACCACCTCACGTCGTAAGTGGACAATATCCTCAGATATTAAGTCCCTGCATTAGTGAGTTTGTGTAGAGTAAATCGCATTAACTAACATGCATATGTTTCCATGGTCACCCAAAGTACAAGGGGTTGGATTCGTTTTGGCCTCCCTTCGAAGCAAGCCGATCTCGCTGTTGAGACACGCTCATATTAATATGGGTGTTTTGTTCCAGCTCTTGTCATCAGATGAGGTTGTCTGTGTGAAATCATGATGATGATGATGATGATGATGATGATGATGATGATGATGATGATGATGGTGGTGGTGGTGGTGGTGGTGGTGGTGATGATGCTGATGCTGATGCTGATGCTGATGCTGATGATCTTGGTCATGAGTGCTTTATATTTTTGAGCCGTTTGGATATCAGTTGCCGGTTGCCGCTTTGCTCGCCTGTCCCGACAGGTATTCAGAGTATCGCAGTTCTTCTTGGATTCCTTCCGCTGCTTCTGGTCACACGTCCAGAGCTCAGAGAGGCCCTGTGAGCCATCAATACCTGGGTCAGACAGTCCCAAGCAGAAATCGGATAAAAATTGGTTTGGCCTTCCTTTGAAGTCTTTACAACTTTACATGGTTTTGAGTCGACCGTTTTAATGCCCCGGTGTTTTTTTTGTTTTTCTTTTGTTTTTTTCAATCACGAAACTGGCCACAGCAGCGCAATACCGCACGCCTTGGATTCCGAGGCTCGAATCTGGCACTCGGCATTCCTGATCAAGCATTCGTGCTGGGCATCTTGGCTGCATCTCATGAGCTTGTTAAGAGTAAGGTGGCAGGAAATACATGGTTGGAATTCCATCTCTTGTGTGGGACCAGCCCAGTTGCTTAGCAAATCACGAGCTACTTCCAACCACAATTCCACGATCGCTTGAGAGAGCTCGTCAATGGACTCAGCCGTGTTTTTCTCGTATGAAGACTGCGTCGGCAAAGCCTGGCTTCCAGTCTATGATTTGGATGTCTCTTTTATATAGGGCATTGAAGGTCTTGGCGAACATCGAAGTGCAAAAGAATCCTCCCTTCCCAAGAGGTCGGTCTTCCAAAGTCTATACAAGTCCATGTTGGCGGGAAGGTACCAAGCAAAAGGAGTCAGCCTGGGAAGGCCCCGCAAACAGCGAAGTCAAATCGTCTATCGCCAGGGTGCATCCCATTTTCCAAGGCAGTGGAAACTGAGTGTCAGAGGCGAAGGATTAGGGAGCTGCGCGGTGAAAAGTTGAAAGCAGTGGCATGCATTGTTTTTCTCTCTCTTCGGATAAATCAGATATATTGATATTATATCCATAGATGTATTGTACATTTATGTGCATGTGGTTCCCCTCCGACAGTTGAAAAAAAAGGCAAGTGGATCTTCTCCCACGTCAAGTACGGTGACTTGAGGCGACGACGTGATTCAGACCGTGGCCGGAGCTGTGAACTCAGAGCCATGTTAGGAGCGAGTTCTCGCCTGGGTCCAGCAATTGGTGCCCTTCTCTCCCATTTCTTTTTGGGGGGAGATTCGGTTCCCCTACTAAAAGAGACTACAGAAAAAACAAGTGGGTACCCTTATTCTAACCTCTCTACCGGAGGACCTAGTCACAATACCCTCTTAAAGGGAATTTCCCTTTCAGCCACCGTTCAGAGGATGTTCCTTCAATGGGAGACTATGGTGGAACATCTGTATTGGGGCCTCTGGTGTTTTTTCTTTCCCAGGGACCAACTCTCCCTTGTGGCTGGAGTCTGTGGAGCAAACCTGTAGCTCATCAAGAGCTCTCGTCACTTGACGCCACGCAGATTGTATCCGCAAGTTTCAAACTGAGCGATCGCCCTGCTTTGCGCGACTCAGGAACTTGCGCATATGCCCATCTTAGTCATGGCCGCCCAGCTATGCCCACCTGGCATTGAGGTGCGGGTGACTTTGGGTGCGAACCCACATCTACCACGCAGCAAACTTGTCCAGATCTTCCAGATAGATTCCGAAGTTGACATTTCAAGCGAGCGCTGCCCAAACGGCAGTGAGTTGAAGGCCCACACTTTGGTGCCAATGCTTCCGAGAACTTTCTTGAACTGGTACTCATATGATTTCGCTTTCCGTCGGCACGCTTGGTTTGCGTTTGACTGAGAAAGGAAATATGTGGTGTATGGGGGCACCAACCAAAATGGGTTGGGTTTTCCTCTTGGTTTCCTGCGCCCCCAGAAAGAATAGCCTCAAGAACACAACTTGGGCCTAAAATTATTCCGCTACCCAGTGCTGCTGGTCCGGAGGCAACTCTCTTCGCGCGGCACCCTCAGCGTGTCGATGTTTCGGACTCGGCGAAGCGACTTGCCAATGTAATTTGAGATTCTCGTTTTGAGGACTGGGGTAGTTTTGTTGAGCTCCCTTGGTTTTTTTTGGCTCTTTGGATTGTTGCCACGGCTATTTTGGGACGGAATGTCACCTTTGACCACGGGAAGGGGTCGATTGTTGCTCTGGAAACGACCCCCCCGTCCTGTAATGGAAGCGAAGGGGTCACGCCCCCATCGCTGGGGGGGGGGGGGGTTCTGGGGAGCGTGGCCACGGCTTAGAAGCTAAGCGTAGATGGGAAACGGGCGGCTCCCAGCCTCATTTGAGTCCCAGGAACTTCGGAGCGGACCCTTCTAGACGGACCTCGAACGTTGCCTTCGGCCGTCAGAGGAATCTCCCCATGAACTAAGTGGAAAGGAAGCCGCCCCTCATTTGTACATTTTTTCCGGATGAATCCGAAGTTGACATTTGTCCAAAGGGAGATCTGAATTCTATCCAGCCTGCATGCATAGATATGCATAGAATCCCCCAGCGCGTTGAAGATCATTTTGGGATCTTCAGTGAGCCTTATTTGGTTGTCAAAAGAGATCCCAGAGATGAGCCAGCTGCCCTTGGCCTCATCCATCATCCATGCCCTGAGGCTGCTGATGTCCCTTCTGAATTTGGCCAGCTTTGTGTCGTCCAACCTGGGGGCCTTGATCACGCATTTCTTGGCGGTGAACGAGTCGGCCTGGACCTCGCGTGAGTTCCTGCAAGCACAGCCTTAGGGCAAGCCGACACTCGCAAATGAGGCACTTCATATGGCTGTGGCTCAAAACATGGTACCCATTGTTTGGCCCCTTACATGGAAACAAAGACCAAGACCTGCGTAGCCTACTGTTTTTGAGTTCATATCTTGGCTGCTATTGGGTTGGATCTTTAGACTTCAGGTTTTTGGTTGAAATCAAGTTGGGGTTGTTTTCCACTAAACCCCCAAAAGGTGGTCCACTTGTTGCAGGGGGGTCGTTGCAGCAACCAAGATATAGAGAACAGTTGGCCTTCCAGGCCGCCAATGTTTGTGCTTCCCTTTCAAGGGTTGTAAATCAAAGGAGTCGCCTCGGGGAGCGAGTCGGACGGCACACTCACGTGGGGAGCAGCGGACCTTTGTTCGGGCATGTGGCTGTGGTTGTCAAAAATCCCATTTTGGGGGGGGGGTTTTCGGTGCACCACCCATTTTAGAACCTATTTTAGTGGGGATTGGGATGTTCACTGGGGGTACGGGCTTGTGGCCCATGGCCATGTGTCAAAAATGGGGCAACCCCCAGATAGCTAGCCTCCGATCAAATTCCGAAAGGGTAGGTCGAAATTTTCCGCTCGAAAGGTGGTCTTGAAACATGACTTTTGGGTGGCCAATCTAAAGTGAGTCTCTTTTTAGAGTGATGTTTGAGAAATATAGGGAACCTTGTTCAGGAGGTTTTCTCAGTGAAACTGTTGCTTCCAAGTTGGGCAAGTGAACGGGCAATACTACCTGGTGTCCGTTTTGGGCCGCCATTTCAAATCGGTTTCTGGTGGAAACATGGGTCGTGGGTAGTAATCACAAGTGAGCCAGTAAGTCATTGGGGGGGGGGTTGTTCAGGATCAGGGCCCTGTTTGGGATCCTCCTTCAAAAAAGCGGCCTCTTCCGGTTGCGTGGCAACATGTCTTGACCGCCCAAGTGACTAAGTGAGTTGATCGCACCGAGGACTTCCAGAGTCTCCCCCTGCTGGTCTTGCTCTGCAACCTCAGCGGAGTTTTGCCTTTGGCACCTCCGCCCTGCGAATCGCGGAATCGTCGAGTCGTCGAACTGGTGATGAATTTGGAGCCAGGTTGGGCGATGCAGCCCCTCCTTTTTCAGCATAAGCCACTACTGTTTGAACGACCCACTGTTGTTTCTCTTCAAAGGGGACCGCTGCTTGTTTGAGCACATTTTGCTCAATCGGCCACGCCCGCCAGGTGCTTCTGCCCCTCATCGGCGGAGGAGTGGCGAGGGAAGCGCTCAAAAAAGAACGCCACAGGAAATTCCCATGGGCGTTGCCCAAACTAGGTCCCCCAGTAGTGCCCTTTTACCAACTTTTTTGCGGGAGGTGTCCCCTACTCAAGTAGGCTACAAAAAAGAACTCGTTCGAATGAGTTTTCCAGTTTAAGGTTCACTGAACATGGACCAGAATCAAAAACCACATCTTCGGCTGGGGACACAAGCTGAGGTGTAAGCACATGGCGGGTAGTTGACTTGATACATTTTCGGAGAACGTTGGCCAATTCTCGAACATCGAAGGTGAGCTGCCCTGTGAGCGCATTCGTCTCAGATGCATTGCCTGTAGACGTGGAGCCTCAGCGCTGGCGATTTTTAAGAGGGAAGCAGTTTCAAAGGGCTTGGTGGACATCAATTTCCCCCCCCCCCCCTTGCCTTGCAGGCTCTGCAAAGGTACGCCGGTGATGCAGGCGCGCTCGAGATGTCGATCGGAGCGCCCAAACATTGGCTGTTTGAGCAGGTCTTGGTCTGGTGGTGGCTATTGTAAGGCCTATATTATTCAACAGGCTGTGGGTTTTGGGCGCTGTAATTTATTAACATGGGGTTTGGTCAAAGTATCCAGCAGTCTATGGCCCATTGAGAGAATTGGGTGCTCACTAGATTTCCAGGACACTGATTGTCCAATGTCCTTTCATTTTTTTGCTCTTAGGGAGGCAGGTTTTTTGTTGGGCCACCCCAAAGATGAGTCGTTTCAATTTTATGTCTGTTCGTAACAGATCCGACAGAGCACCCTTAAACGCAACCCAAAGCAATCTTCTGGCAACTTTGGTGTTTCGGATTGCAGCCATCTTCAGACATGACCTGAGTTGAAATGTTGTTTCCAGGCCACTGAAAGCACGTTTGTGAGGACAACGTGTTAGAAGGGTACAATTCTGGATCGCATTCTCCCCTCCCTGATGACGTTTTGAGGTCTTGGCTGACGGTGCCATGCAGGTTCGAAGACCATCGCGGACTTCCGATCCGCGCGTAGGATTTTTGGAATGTCGGGTGCCAAAGATCTTTGGACCAGGGGAAGGCATGGAGAACAGCCCACCTTTGCACCCGGCTTGCACGATTCCAGGGACGATTGGCAGTTTTCCCCGTTCGTAGAATTCATGCCAACAAATGTGTCCAAATATCAGCTAAAGTTGCCTCTGGTAGTCTTTGTTCAATGCTTCACAAGAACGATAGAGTTGCATTTTTGTACCAGAGGCAGATAACGGAACATCGCGCAGGGTTCCAAAGCCAGAACAGCTGCTCTTTGCATCAAATCCTTCACAGCGACGCACTTAGCGACGCTTTTCGCACGTGGGCTTCTCTCCCGCGTTGAGGTCTGTTCGATCAGAGTTTCGTCGAAAAGGATCCCAAACCCAGATCCCCTCTGGCCATGGGAAACTCTGTTGCCCAGTGGTGCCCTTTTTTCTCCTTTTTTTGGGTAAGGGTTCCCCTTCAAACTCAACCAACAAATAAAAGGTGCCCTTTTTTCCCATGGCCACTGGGCATCTGAGTAGTTGCCCTGCACAACTGAAAAATGGGCCGCTACTGGGTGTGTCTGCAACGGATGGGGCGCAATGTGTCGACAGACCCGTGCCATTTTCGCGTCAGAGGGCTGCGCAGGGCCAATTCTATGCAAGGCGCAGCATGTCTCAAAAAGGACGCGGTCCCTGCATGGAACCCTCGGCTGTGGGGTTTGAGCTTGCAAGCCCACGACAAGAGGGGCACGAAAAGCTCTTTTTCGGCAACGATGTAATTTTGCTTGTTTGCTGCCTCAAGCAAAGCTCGTTCTATTTGCACGGAGCTTTTGTAGGTGCTAAATGACCCACAATTTGTCCAGGAGGTCAGAAGGGGTGGGTATGTCTTCTCAATTTGTTGGACAAAGCCGCTATTCAGAGCCCAGCAGGCCTATGTTATGAGAGGTTTTGCTGCGAGGACAATGCTCCAAGCAGTTCTCATAGTCCGACACAGGCTGTTCATTTCCCTTAAACTCACATTTGATCTTGGTGATGTTGGTCATCTTCAGATCCTGGATCAGTTTGAGAAACATGTTTGTAAGACTTCTGGCTCTGTGTCAGCCCCCAATGGAGATCCCCAAACCTCCTCCAGTAGAGGGGCCTTTCTGATGCTTAAGGAAGAAGCTTAAACGACTGGCTCCCGCAGAAAGCTTATAAGGCAGCACATACCTCTTGTGGTGCAAACCCTCCATACCCGCAGAATGGCTCAAATGCCCAGAACGTGTTCCTGCCAAACCCGAGAAAAAGGCCTGCAATGGACCAAGTGGCTGGAGCAGTGGCATCCGATCAAGCTGTACGCTGCTGGGCTGAATGGTTGGAACAGGCTCAAACATGGGTGGTGAACATGAATCTCCATTGCAAATGATTCCCACCAAAAGACAAGATGAAAAATATCCCAACGGCAAGTGATACGGCTTATCGGAGTATTTGTTGTGTTTCATCCATCCCGGAGGAATTTGTCCATCCACAGCATGGCGCAGAATGCATTTCCTGATTCACCCTTTCAGAGAATCTGACTTTGGACCTTTGGGTTTGCCATGAGTCAACCTTTTGGTTCACCCGCATCAGAAAGGATCCTCCATTGAAGGAGTTTGGATCTCCAATGGCCCTTTTTGAGGCCCCAACATTCTCAGATAAGGTCCCAAAAGGTGAAAGTTCTATTCTCAGGACAAGCCGAGTGAGATTGGGGACCCTGAAGGAGTTGTTTGCATGCAACATAGAGCCACTGTCAATTGGGGTTGTCTTTGATGTTTGATGGAGGGCACCTCCACAAAAAACAAAGGGGGAGGGTGTAAAGCGGGAGCGAGGACTCGACTCGCAACCAAGGTTACAAGGAGACAGTGCTCAGCCCTGAGTTTCCGGGTCCGGGTGTGCGTCAATCAGTCTGCTTGGATGTTCAACTCACGTACAACCTACTTTGTAAGTGGGTTGAACATCCAATTGAGGACCTCTTGGTCATGTTTTAAACAACATATAGGGTGAAGCTGTCATTTTTTGGAGCAGATGATTCTTGCATTTCACAATGGCAACCAGTTTGGTTGGAAGTTCTCATAGCGCGCAGAAGACTGACTGTTGTTCAAAGACTCGACATACTATGACAAGAGCTTTGGCAAAAAGAGCCAAAGGCCACTTGTTTGTCTATTTGATGGGCCAAAAAGCTGGTTCTAGGCTGTCCGTCGCATTGAAAGTGAGTTGCCCGTATCTTTGTCAGGTCTCCATATTTCCCTGTTCGGCGGTTTCAAACATTGCCTGGTTGGCCCATTTAAGGTTCGTGTCCCTTGGGCGGGGCTAATGTTTTATTGGGAACCCGGTTTTTTTGGCCCCCCCCCCCCACCGCCCTGCCCCCCCCCCCCCCCGGCCCCGCGCCGAGGAAAGAGTACATGGGGCTGATGATGCTGCCATCATGTGACACCAAAGCCATGATGAATCCCAAGCCGCCGGATTTCAAGGCGCGGAGGCGTCACCCAAACGAGGGGATCCTGTGTTTGTTTCTTGACTGCTATTGGGGTGGATCTTTAGACTTTAACTTTTTGGGAAATAAAGGTGTGTTCCACTAAACCCCAAAAAGTTAAGCTTTTTGCCCGGGGGTCAACAGCAACCAAGTTTTTTGTGTGTTTTGTTCGACCGGCCTGGTCCGGGTTGGCCAAACCACAAGGTCACAAGGCAACTTGGAGGTCAACAAGTTGGCTTAGGGTGAGAGAAACCAAACCTATTCTCACGCCAGGAGTTCTTTGTGCGGTGGAATATCATTTATGCCGCCGCGGCCTTACTTTCACATCTCACCCGAAGGAGAACGGTGGGAGCACCCGCTCCTTTGTGTTTTTTCTGCTTGCCAACATGAACCCAGGTGCAACAGTGTGCTAATTACATCTTGTGCCCCAGTTTTGCCCAGAACTGATTTTCTGACCTTTAGGTGCTCCTTTTTGTCCACCCTCCCTCCAACAATCATGGAAGCTGACAGGAAAATGTGGGAACGCTACTGTCCTTCTGGGGAACCTCTGTGTCCACTTCCATGATTGTTAGAAAGAGAGTTGCTTAAGTCAGGGCCCAGAAGCATTTCATGGTGCGGGCACAGATCCGGACGCAGTTAGGATCTTGGGCTCGTGATTTCGGTGGCGCAGATCATCCTTTGTTTCGCCTCTCAGCTGCGCTTGGCTATGACCATGGCAAGGGTCTGTATGGGAGTTTCTCAAAATGGCGGCCCCCTGTGACCACAAATTTCGGGAACCGATTCATATCTGAGAAACACGCCTATGCTTCGCTTCTCACGTCCTGGCTCCACTTTGTCCTTGCGTCTGCGTACCTGTACCTGTTTGGGGCCACTGCGAGACCTGGACGCTTAGTGCCAAGTTGGGAGTGAGGAAATAGGCAGCCCTGCACTGCATCTGAAGGAACCTCAGGGACCGCTTGGTCGCTGATCGACGTGAGCACGAGAGCGACACTATGCCGCGTCGCTCTCGTGCTCACGTCGCCCCACAAGGGTCAAGGGTTAATCAAGGCCAAACCGGGGGGGGGGGGGTTGTGGGGTCCCTTGTCACCTGCAGCTCGCGTTTTGGAGCCTAAGGTGACGTTCTACTTGTTCAGCCTCATCAGACAGGTCTGCACTGGAAAGCTCAGGGTGCAATGGATTCCTCAGCCTTGCCAAGGTGTATAGTGCGACCGACCCATTTCCAACGGGCCATTTGAGAATCAGCCCGGTTCTGCCCCTTTCTGGCGGCTTCACTCAAAATGACCGCAGAATGGGTCTCCCTTCCTAACCGGTCAGTGACAAGTCATAAGGCATCGCCCTTTTGCAGGTCTTCGTCCTCCTCTGTCTGATTGTGCCCACGCACATGGCCTGGTATGCCCTCATAAAGAGGCAGGTCTGTGTTCAGCGAGCTGCAGAAATCGAAGTGATACCCAATTCAGGGTATGTAGTCCAGTGAGTTCTCCCTGCGGCAAGTGGCGTGGGGTCAGAACTTATACTAGCATCAGAAATCTGGCGCAAGCCGAGCCTTTGTGCAATCTCTGTGCTGAGTCAACAGCTTGACCTACATGGATGCCCTTACATGTTGCAAGTAGACCAACCAACCAACCAACCAACCAACCAACCAACCAACCAACCAACCAACCAACCAACCAACCAATCAACCAACCAACCAACCAACCATACTCAACCACAACACCATGATACATCACAGTAAATTCAAGGGTGTCCTTCCTGCAGTTTTCTGGGGCATCCACCGTATCTTCGGGTCTTGGCTCGTGCCAGGGGCGGCTGTATGGGGAAGGCCGGCTACATCGGCTTCGGCGCCTTTTACGCCGCTCGGATGCGAACTGATCGCGATCTTAGTTGTCCAGTGCCACCGATTCTTCTTCCAACTCTTTTTTGGGGGGCTACCCCACTAAAAAAACGGTCTTCCCCAAAAAGGAGAA